GGGAAAGGTTCAGCCAGTTAGTAGGTATGGCTGTTAGAAGCAAAACTTGAATACAAAATAATTATTGTCAGAGAATACGACGGGATGTGGATATAGAATGAGATGGAAACTTTTAAAAAAATACTCTGAATAAAAAGTGGAATCTCTTCTTCAACCAGATTTCACTGATTATTAGGGTAGAAAGAAGGTAGGAAAACATTCAACTCTGTGATTGCTTCAGTATTTGACCATATTGTTTGATGGGATGACCAAATGATGGAGAAATTTTCCTATTACTTTCAGATAATATAAAATCCTTTGAGTATCCTGGAATTTCTATTTGGAATTCTATATATACTAAGAGTAATTTGCAATCCCCCAATTTTCATCTATAAGAGAAGACAAAGAAAATTGTCTTCTACATACATATTTCCAAGATTTTGTCAAAGTTTGTGTTAAAATTGTATTATCTGCCTTCTTACAGGGGCCTAGCAGCCAATAATATCACTTTAAGGGGTCATTCATTAGAATGATTCCCAAACTTTTTCTTTTGTTTTCTCTTCCCTGAGGCTAGAGATCACAAGGACCTCCAACCCCATTCTTTTTCACTTTTTAATGGGATAAGATTCTACTGAAGAGTTGTCAGAAAATACTGATTGACAGTGAAACATACAGCAAAGATTGTGATTTTTTGAAAGTAATTAGCTTTGGTATTGAAGCTCTGCCCCTAGCTGTTTGACTTGACTGTGTTCGTTATTTTCATTGGGCCTCAGTTTCCTCATATGTAAAATGAAAGCATTTCAAGATTTTGAGAAATATTCTGATCACTACCACTCCTCCTTACTTTCTTCACTGCTATTATGATGATGTTCGAATAAGAGACAAATATATAGACATTACTATGTTGTAATCATACTCATTCTTCAAAACTACCACTTAAGCCCTCTTTCATAATAACTAGGATATTAAAATATCTTATTTTAATTTTATTTTCTCAGGTTAAATAACTTTTTTAATTTTCTTGTTACTTTTTTCTCTACCTCTCCTATGGTCATTATCATTCCTACTTAACATTATTATTATTTTTTTTTACATAGACAATATATTTAGTAGGATAAATAAAAAACATCCATGAATTAAATTAATTATAATTTACAAAATCTTGCATTTGAGAAGACCTCACATTAATTTTACTTTCGTATTTTTTATGCTGCATCAAGACTACCCCTTCAATGCTTTTTATTCCCTCCGTACACTAGTACAGTATTTTTCAAATTGGAGGTTGTGATCCATTAATAGTTTGTGACATCAGTTTTGTAGGTCACAGCCACCACTCTTT